GGGGGGGCTGCAGCTGTGTGGCTTCAGCCTCACTTGGGTGGGTGTGTGTTATGGCTTCCACCAGGCCCCTCTCAATTCCAGCAGTGGTAGATCCCCAAGAAACCCACTTCCCTGTGGCCAGCCCCACCCCCCCCAGTCAACAAGGCCCACCCACATGGCGGCCCCCAGCTCCTCTTCTCTGGACCAGATGTCCCCCTGCGGTGCCTCCAGATCAGTGTCCAGAGCTACTTCTTGTACCTCATTGGCACCTCAGCACCTGGGACCCTCCGAGGGCCAGGCATGTGGCTCTTTGCCGCCTGTGAGAAGCTAATTTGATACTTAGCCCCCATGAGGAGCTGGCGGTGTATGGCTGTGCTGGTCACCCCCTGGCTTGGGGGGCCAAGCTGTGCACTATAGGCTCACACTGAGCCCATGTTTACCCCAAACCTGGGACTCCCCAGGAAGGGACCATGGCTTCCTAAGCCCACATGCAGGATGTCATGTTGACCCCAGAACTGTGCCCGGCTGCTCTGGCTTGCTGTCTGGACCCTCGGTACCCCCTCCCTGCTCATCGGAGGGCCTGCCTGCCCCACGCACCCAAGGAGTGTTGGAGACAAGGATGCCTGAGGGCCAGGTGGCCACTCGGGTCTCCAGGGACTGTGGCTCACTTGATCTCAGCCTCCAGCCAAGGGTCTGCCTCATCCATGGACCAGTCACCGTTACTGTTACATTGGGGGCTAGTAGCATGGGGGGTCGTGGGCTAGGGACACTCCACTCCGTGGGGACAGTACAGGTTGGTGTCAAGGACTTTCCGAAGAATGGCCTTCCTCTGCTCCCCCTCACTGTGCCCCAGGCCTCTGTTCAACAGGAAGTCCAGCGACCTAAGCCCCTTGTTGGCCATTTCTGGGGTCCACCTGTCTCCCCAGTTATGAAAACCCAGGCTCCAGCCACCCTCTCCCAGGCTTTCCTGTGCCCGAGGGAGTATTCACTGCCCCCCCGGCCCCGTGATCCTACTGCCTCCCACTTGCCAGCCCATCCTCTTCCGTGAGAACAGACTTTATGGTTTATCTGGTCCCTGTTCTCAGATTTCACTCCCGCCCTCCTGCCTCAGTTAGGAGCCTCCTGCCAACCCTGGGTGCTCCAGGCCCCGGGAGCAAGGGGCCCCACAAAGGGAGCAGCAGCCCAGAAAATCAGCCCCTCCCTCTGGCAGCGGCATCTGCCTAGCACTTCATGCAGGATCTGACTTAACCCCAACAGCCCCTGCTGCCCCCCAGTAAGGCTCAGAGAGGACAGGTTGCTGCCAGAGGGCGTGGAGCCAGGATAGGAACCTGACTCACGGTGTTCCACCTCCCACAGTCACAGTGTTCAGCTGGGTCCAGACCTGTCTGCACACTCTGCCTCAACCTCCCCCAGGTCAGGGGTGGTGGCCAGGCGTGTGGCTGGAAGTATGCCTGAACCGGACTCAGCAACTCTAAGTCCTGGGTGGGTGTGCCTCTCGGGCAGGGGGACCTGGCACTGTGATGGCAGTGTCTCAAGACAGCCACTCTGTGTCTGTGGGTGCAGATCTTCAGCTGCCTGTAGCCCGAGGGCCACTCATTTCTCCCTGGTTGGAGGAGGCAGGGCATGCCACTGGCAGAGAGCAGGACAATGTCCCTATTGATTTTGCCTCCTTCTCACTCCTGCCCTGGAAACTTGACAGTGACTCCTGACCCCTGGCTGTGCTCTGTGTGGCTGCCCCTGCATTCCACTCTAAGCATAGCTGTGCCCAGACAGTCCTGTGACCACGTTAGTCTCAACCTGTTCCTGCTCTGCCTGGCCAGCCTAGCCCCATCACCTCTTCCTCTCTGCCTCCAGGTGTCCGAGGGCTCCCTCCCTCCCTTTCTTCAGATTTCTGCTCAAATGTCTCATCACCCAGAGCCTCACACTGACCATTTTGTATGAAATAGATCAAACCCATACACACACGCAGTGATACGCACTCACACTGCATGTATGCATTCATGTATGCTCACACATTCATGTGCACACTCATGCACATGTATGCACACCCAGAGTCACATGCATGCACACCTGCACATACATGATCACCTACTAGTGCATTCACTCACACAATCCACTCACGCTGACCAAAATACTCAGGCTCTGCTCACACATACTCATGCACACACGTTTGTGCACTCACACATACTCAGGCAGTACTCACGCACACGCAGCCTAGCAATCTCTCCACTCTCACCAACGTGGCACCAAACTGTTTCACCATCCTGCTGACAGTCTGTTTCCCTGCACTGTCACCTACGCAGAGCAGGTGTTTCCGTTGGTTTTAGTCTTAAGCACAATGCCTACACACAGTGGGCACTTGGTGAATGCCTGTGAAAAATGGCACTTGCTGTGAATGAACTAGTTATAAGAGTGGCCTCACCTGGAGGGGCTGCAGCCCTCAGCCCTGCCCACTGCCCCTGCCCCTTTCCACAGTCAGCCTTCGAGTCAGAGGTGTCTGAGATCAGCATCAGCCAGGGTGAGATTAACCTTGCCCTCAGGAACCTGCGGGCCTGGATGAAGGATGAGAAAGTGCCCAAAAACCTGGTAAGTGTGAGCCCAGGTGGGCCTGCAGGCAAGGAGGCTTGGGAACTGTTTGCTCCCCACTGGGCCTCTCTATGGGGGAGCGCTCTTAGGAGGTGGGGGTCTGAGGCCCTCACTGCTCACCACTGTCTCCCCTGACTCCGGCCTAGGCCACACAGCTGGACTCAGCCTTCATCCGGAAGGAGCCCTATGGCCTGGTGCTCATCATTGCCCCTTGGAATTACCCTGTGAACCTGACGCTGGTGCCCCTGGTGGGTGCCCTTGCAGCAGGTGAGCAGTAAGCTCCTCTCCCCCTCCTTGTGGCCTTGGCTGGCCACAGGACCAATGAGAAAGGGGAGCTGGCACCAGGTGGCAGAGAAGGCTAAACCCCACCCCCAGGCTGTGTGGCTTTGGTCCGGTCATTCTACCCCTCTGAACCAGCTTCCTCAACTGAGCCCGGAGAGAGGCTAGCACCTGCCTTGTAGGTGTGAGAACTGAATGGTGTGGCATGAGAGTCCCAAGAGGGGGCCTATACCCTTCCTCTCTCCTCGCCCTCTCTCCCCACCCCTGCAGGGAACTGTGTGGTGCTGAAGCCCTCGGAAATTAGCAAGAGGGTGGAGAAGGTCCTGGCTGAGGTGCTGCCCCAATACCTGGACCAGGTGAGCAGGTCTGTGGGCAGACCGGAGTGGCACAAGGCAGCCCCCACCCCACTGGGGTCAGGCAGGGACAGTTGCCAACAGGGAAAGGCAGGAGCCTGGAGGTCAGACTCAAGTTCCAATCTCAATTCTGCCCCTCCCAAGCCAGGGTCCTGCCCTCTCTGCCTCAGTTTCCCACTGAGTGAATCCCAGGCATAGCATTACAGGAGCACTCTGTGCCTGTCCCCGGGGTCCTGTGGATCCTCACGCCTCAGCCGTCTGGCCAGCCCCAACTACATGCCTGTTGGGTGGGGACTCAGGGATTGTCCCTACTGTCCCAGCAGCTTAGGGGTAGCTTCCCACTGCCCCCCCCCCCCTGCACCAGGACCACCTAGAGCCCTGGCAACTCTGGGTCTGGGAGGCAAGGAGGAGTGGAGGCCGGCCTGGGGCAAGGCAGCCTGGGGCTCTCCAGCAGGGGTCCCAGAGGTGCCTCTGCTGCCCCCTGCAGGGCTGCTTCGCAGTGGTGCTGGGTGGCCCCGAGGAGACAGGGCAGCTGCTGGAGAACAGGTTTGACTACATCTTCTTCACAGGTGAGGAGTTTGCTGCTGCCCCGCCAGGCCAGTTGGCAGCAGGTGGACGGCCAGAGAGAGGCCCAGAGTGTCGGGGTGACGGGGCAGGGGGGTGGAGGCCTGAGTCAGCCCCATCGAAGGGGTCTTATCCCCAATCCTGAGACAGACTGGAGGGGCGAGGCAGAGAGAGTACCCAGGCTAGGCCATGTGGGGCGGGCACCTCAGGGATCCACCAGCAGGCTGGGAGATGCCTGGCAGCATTCTTGCCCCGGGGGCCACTGCCCGGCCCGGCCCACCACAGTTCCAGGACCCCTGAGAGTCTGTCCTGCCTGCTGCTGCCTCCAGCCCTCCTGCAGGCTGCAGACTGAGGGGTCGAAGCTCAGAAGAAAGAAGGGACGTAGGGTCCTGCCCAGGCCCCCTGCTGACAGTGTGGGGCAGGCTGCATTTGGACCAGCATCCTGTGGGAGGGCCTATGAGGCCAGACATGATGCCACCCTCCAGCCTTTTCTCTCTTGATGGCAGTGAAATCCCTGCTCTGTCTCTACCAAAACCAAAAACCAAACTCACTGCCATCTAGTTGGTTCCAACTCATAGTGACCCCCTTTGGTTTTCTGAGGTGGTAAATCTTTACAGAAGTAGATTGCCCAGTCTTCCTTCCATGGAGTGGCTGGTGGGTTTGAACCACCAACCTTCTGGTTAGCAGTCAGATGCCTTAGGCACTACATCTCTAGTAGGGCTCATGTTAAGCCTGGCAGAGTGACAAAACTAACCAATCCCAACATCAGAGTTCTACACACCTTATCTGCATGGTCCCACCCAGTACTCTGGAGGGAGTTACAAATACTATGGCTAGAAAAGCCACACCAGGTAATTCACTGCCCTGCAGGTGGCCAGGGACCAAGGCCGGGCCATACCTAATGGCAGCACAAGATGCTGGGCCGGGCATGGGACAGGCGCCTTGGGCCCAGGTGGACTTTAGGCAGGAAGGCTGAGTGGAGGAGTTGGGGTGTGAGCCCGGGGAGTCAGGGGGCAGGGGAGGACAAGCAGGGGCCCGTCTGCTCAGAGTGGAGGGCTTGCACTGGAGGGAAAGGAGGGGGCAGGGGGGCAGGGAGGCAGGGCCCCTGGGTTCCAGTCAGAGAGAGGAAGGGCCTGCACATCGGCCAGGCTAAGAGCTGCACTCAGCCTTGGGCACTAGAAGCCACTGAAAGTCCCAGGGGAGATTGGAGAGGGGCGTCACGGTGAGAGTATGCCCAGGACAGGAAGTGGAGTGGGCTCGGAGTTGAGGGCTTACAAACGTCTGAGCAGAGGGCTGCAGAGGGGCTGGGGTCTGAACTGCGGCAGGTTTTTCAGGCTCTGGTTTCTTCGGGGCTGGTCTGGGGGGCGGCGATGAGCGGGGTTCTGGGTGAAGTGGGGGCCGGCTGGGATTTGAACACCCAGCACCACATGGAGGCTGGCTCCTGCCCAGCTCAATCGCCCACAAGAGCAGGGAGGGACCCCTGTGAGAGCCACGCCCCAGGCCCGGCCTCCGCCTGCTCTAGGTAGTGAAGAGCCGCTCTGGCTCCTTTCTGCATCCAGGGAGCCCCCGCGTGGGCAAGATCGTCATGGCCGCCGCAGCCAAGCACCTGACTCCCGTCACACTGGAGCTGGGGGGCAAGAACCCCTGCTACGTGGATGACGACTGTGACCCCCAGACCGTGGCCAACCGCGTGGTCTGGTTCCGCTACTTCAATGCCGGCCAGACCTGCGTGGCCCCCGACTACGTCCTGTGCAGCCGCGAGACACAGGAGCGGCTGCTGCCCGCCATGCAGAGCGCCATCACCCGCTTCTATGGCGACGACCCCAAGAGCTCCCCCAACCTGGGCCGCATCGTCGGGGAGAGGCAGTTCCAGCGGCTGCAGGGCCTGCTGGGCTGTGGGCGCGTGGCCATCGGCGGCCAGAGTGACGAGAGCGAGCGCTACATCGGTGAGTCCCGCTGGGGGCCCAGGGCTGCAGGGGACACAGACACATGGGGCCCAGGAGGG